CGGCTGAAAGCCAGCAAAGCAAATGGGTTGACAATGGGCTCCACATAGGGCCCTCAAAGTGTAAATTGTTATAATTTGGGGGTTAATTACATTGAAAATCCCTAAAGAATAAAATTTATCTCATTTTGATTTTTAATATTTTAATTATACTCTCTCCGTTCCTAAATATATGTCGTTTAAAATTTTTACACAAAGATTAAGAAAGTTATTAAATAGCTCTAATATGAGTGAAAAATAATTGCACAACATTAAAATACACTTATTCAATACGTAGTGGTAAAGAAATGAATATGAAAGGCACTTAACTTCCACCTAATCTAATGCATTGAAAAGTTAAGGGTAAATTTGGAAAAAAAAATATTAATAATGTTTTGGTTTCATTAAACGACACATATTATGGAATAAAAATAATTGGTTAAAACGACAAATATTTAGAAACGGAGTGAGTATTATTTTAGTTTTTAAAATATTGAATATATTTTTATGTAGTTCTTTAATCAAATAGGGTTAAAGATTGTTAACGATTTTTTTATTATAAATTTATCACATAATACCTAAAATATTGACAAAAAAATAATTTGGATAACTCTTAACCAAAATTTTACTCAAATTTTAGTTAAAGAACTATCCAAATTATATAATTTTGATCAAGAGCTATCCAAATTTTGGTCAAGAGTTACCCATATTGCACATTTTTAGGCATCACATAATAAGTTTATGATAAAAAATTATTAGCAATTTAGATGTTGTGTGTTTGAGAGATCACATAGGAATATATTCAATACTTCAAAAATTAAAAATAATATAATAAAATATTAAAAACTAAAATAAAATAAATTTTATACTTAAGGGATATGTAGTGTAATTGACCCTAATTTGGTGAAGAAAAGTTTGATTGAAAGTTGGGGTAAAAACCAAAGTCTCCCCTCATTCCTTGTTATTGTGTTATTGTCTTTATTGTTTACTTTAATCATGTTTATTGGATTATTGTTTGAGTGCCCAGTTTTTCCATAACGTTTGTGTTCACATTTATGTGTTTTTTTTCTTTTTTTTTTTTAATCTCACTTGCATCGTTATCCAAGGAAGTGAAAATAATTTGTTAAATCTGATAAAAAAAAATAAAAAAAAATAAAATAATTTGTTAAAAAATAAAATTAAAAAATATATACATTAGAGAGGATTTGGATCGAGAACCAACGAGAATAGACAGGAAACTGCATTAAACACATGGCCTAGTTATTGTATTGCAAATATGCCATACACTCTGCCACGGAACAGTCCCACTGAAATCTACAGAAATCCGCTTCAGCCATGTAATGCTGGATTCCAGCTGAAGACCACTCAATATTTCCTGGCATTCATAACATACCACCCCCACCGCCCTCGTTATCCGATAATTCGATAAATTTTATTTTTATAATTTATATTAGAATTTAAAATTTTAATTCAATTTAATTTGAATAATTTAATAAACAAAATTTTAATAAATTATATCTAAATTTTTTTAAATAATCACTTGATTTTAAAATTTTATATAAATATATAAAATAATTTTAATCGGATCATAATCAGATCAGATATAAATATATTTAAATCTAAATTTATGAAATAAAAGATATCGAATTCAAGTTATTGGTAAAAAAAATCAATTCATATCCAGTAATTCAAATTTGGATTTGAGTTACCAGTAAAAAAATATTAATTTATACCCGACTAATCAAACTTAGATTCAGATCAAAATCAAATCCACCTTATATGTGATATAAATTTCGCTTTTTGACCCACAAATCTACCAAAAACTTGATTAAACCGTGATAAACAACCCACAAAAATTGACTCCAAATGATTTTTGACTTCGAATTTGAGAAACGGACAAAGCAAAACAAAAATCACTTTTGATTTCGTCTACGTTTGACGAAGTGATTTAAAGCGAAGACTTGATTGTATAATCACATCTCGTCAAAAGTATTAAATTTGAATTTGTCATTAACCATGACTCATTAACTTGTGTTTAAAACACATGTTTAGTCAATAACCACGAGTCATTAACTTATGTACATAAATAAAGCCACAATGTAAATAATAAATTGCCTATAAAATCGATATCACTATATTAAATAATAATTTTTTTTTTAATTTTTCTTTCTATTTATGTGATTCGAAATTAATTTTTACTCATTATTTTATAAAAAAAAATTACAAAATTAAACAAAAATTAAATGATTTAACTTGTAATAGAAATAGATGATGTGATAAAAATAAGCGAGAAAATATGTAAAGAATAAAAATTTAAAAATGTTATGTGTTTTATTATATATATAAATTAATATTGATTTGTAGGAAAGCAATAATAATTAATTCCTATGGAACTTCAAAAGCTCGCAACACTTTGAAGTATGTTTCCGAACTCTAAAGATAGTCTAAATGTTAACAGATATGAGTTATAAATTCAAATATTTTGAGTTTGAATTTTGAAAATTTTTTGGGATTAAACAATAAAAAATTTATTTTAATCTCTATGTGAATGGTCCATCTTTTACCGGACGGATCAAAGAGAAGATTAATCAATATGCGAGCAAGTTGGTCTAAATATTCTTATTGTTAGAAAAAAAAATGAAGTATATTTCGGTTGTCACAAGTGCAATCTTGAAGAAGCTGCTCATGGATAGTGATTGACTTGTTTCCCTGAATATAAAAAAAATGTTGAACTTCACAATTTTGAATTACCAGAGTTCATACTCAACCATTTGAACTATACATAAACGTCGATGACGATTGAATTATGTTATAGGCAATTATACAATTTTTCCTCGCTTTGAAAAAATTCCCAAAAGACAAAAATAATCATTTTTTACATTTATCCTAGAAAATAAGCAATCAACCATAAATAAAGATGGATCACATGGGGCACTGATTGTCCTTTCAAAATTCCAAAAATCTCAGTTTTTTTTTATATAGTATTTTTAATTTGAATACTTTTAAACTATATCGTCTCGCTCTCCTCTAATTTTTTTTTTCCTTATAGTTTACAAGAGCAGTCCCAATAAAATATACTTTTGCCGCCCCTTGGATCCGTTCACGAGCGCGTAATCACTATTAATTTCTAATTCAAACCTTTTTTTATGAATTGATTATGAAACGGCACTTCCCTTTGTACCCCAATCTTGAATGACCAAAAATCTTGACCACATTGCCTTGTTCAATTCTCTCACTTTTAAGTTTTGTGATTTATTTTTACAATTTTTAAGTATTATTTACAAGATTTGAGAATTATTCATAACTTTTAAGGATCATTTCCGATCAATTTTAGGACTGATCACAGATGAACCTCAAAAATTGGAGGGCAAAATTCAGTTTACCCTCTTGTGATTTGGATATTTTACACATGACTCTCTTATGATTTGAAAATTAACATATTACCCCCTTGTGCTTTTGGACCGATATGCACAATTAACACCGTTAACATAAGTGATAAAATGACTTTAATACCCTCAAAATCTCAACCATTAAACCTCAAAATAGGCCACATGTTATGTATTGATTAAAAATTCTGATGCCACGTACTACAACAAGTCTTGTTCAACTTGATTTTTAATTTTCTGGAAGAAGAGTTTGATACTTATAAATGTCAGTATTTAGAAAAAAAAATTAATTTTTTATTTTACCTTTAATTATTATAATAAAGTCAACTATGCCCACATATATACTTTCATCTCATTTTTGTTTTTTTACTCTTATTTGACTTCCAATTTTATTTGAACTCTTTTATAAGGACTTCTAAATTCTTTTGAACTTATGTATTAGTAGTATAGTTACATATAATCTTCTATATTTATATGAAAAAATAACATGTATAAGGTTTGATTGAATTTTATGGTCAAATATGTTATAGTTTATTTTTTAGCATGCTCTAATATAAATAATATTATAAATGATCTAATCAATCTATTTAACAAAAAAAATTATTAATTTTTTTATTTTGTTTTAATTAATAAAAAATAAAAATATAATACTAAAAATTAACAAAGTAAAACCATATAAAGTTACATGTACATGTTGTTTGATTCCGGAACCAGACTATAAAAATTTGTTTAACTATTTTATAATTAAAAAAAAATGTATTTGCTTGATCTTATCTCTCTCTCTTTTTTTTCTAACAAACAACTGAGAGTAGTGAAAAACCAAGCACCCTTTCCCCAATCCCCAATGCTCAGATTTTTTACCCATTGAAACCCTCCTTTAATTCCTGAGTTTTCCAACACCCAAAAACTCAAAATTCTTGAAGAAAGAGAGAGAAATGAAATGAGACCACCCAAATCTTCGCCAAAAATATTTTCCTTGTGGAGTTGGCGTCACCAGCAGCTCCTCCGTAGGCGGTGGCGCTGGTAATTTTCTGATGAATATTGCCTCTCTCTCACTCTGTCTCTTTGACCCAGCAATGCCACTGCCCCCTCTCTCTTTTCTTTATCATCTCTCTCCATCAGTAACCCCCTCTCCCTTCTCTCATTCTCTAAGCAACAACCTCATTGTCCCTTTCTCTCACCACCCTTCTGTCATTATTGGCAATTCTCTCTCTATCTCTCTGTGTCTTTCTCTATAACTAATAAATCAACGATCCATTTTCGCCCAATTATCACTGTCACCAGGGCAACAATCACAGCCATTTGGGCAACCATCACAGTCACGACCATACTACTCATTTACAGAGCACAAACTCAAACCTCCAATCACCCTAATCGAAGCAAGGATTCTAGGAAGCAACTCGTCGAAATTCGTGAGAGGAAATTCTCTTTGTAATTCAGTGTCCCAGGGATAAACTGAATCCCTTGTTTTCCTTTGTTTCCTCTTGGTCTTCGTTGATCTATGTTATTATTGGTGTCTTACTTGGTTGATTGAACTTGGCTTTAAAGTGGTGGCAATGGTGGTGGTGTACAATAGGGTGGTAATTTAGTGGAATGTGCAGAGTTTGTGGCAATTTGAGTTGTTGCATAGTAGGAATGATGGAGGTAGTGGTGTTGCCCAGTCGGGTTGTTGAAGGTGGATTGGTGATGTTGGTGAAGGGTATTATTGTTTGGAGAAAAATTTTAGAGTCAACTGCTCAGGAAGATGGAGATCGAGGAATGGTATTATTGTACTTTTATTGTGCCTATTTTTGGAGGGAAACACATTTTGTTGCGTCAAACCTTCTGTTGGGTGCGTGTATGTCACAGATGGTTTAATCTAACGAAAAAACTAACAATAGCATTTTAGTCCAAAAGTATAAGGGGGTAATGTGCTGATTTTCAAACCATAGGGGGGTCATGTGCAAATATCCAAACTACAAGGGAGTGAACTGAATTTTTCCCAAAATTGTAAAGAACTAACAAAAGCTATAAGTGCAAGTAACCTCAAAAGTTGTAAACAACAAACTCTAAAGTATATAAGTGCTAACATGGACGAATTGTAAACTCAAACATTCTGAGTTGAATTCTTGACCACCTTTTGAGACTAGATTATGAGGAAATTATTCTTTATGAATATTTTAGTTCCAGGGTGGATAGCTTGCATTTGATTAGATGAGAGAGGGGATTAGTCGAGATGTGCATAAGTTAGCCCTGACATCATTGACAGTTGAACCAAAAATATAAAAAAAAAATTGTAAATAACCCACAAAAGTTATAATATGACCTCAAAAGTTGTAATTTCTTTTTATCATGAATAAACATAAAAACGTGTATATCAATCCATAAAACTTGTAAAATTTAGTGATATGATACCAAAATTTTTTTATTCTGTACTAATGATGTACAAATTGGTTTTGCACATCACATGTCAAGTAATTAATGTAAATAATAAAATAGAGAAAAAAAACTCCACACAAACAACACACAATTTAAGTGATTCGATCAAAGTGATCTATTCCGTTGTGAAGAGCTAGGATGGCCTAGGTGTTTTATTACTGTAAGAGTGTGGAGAGCTCAGAAGCTAGATGTCAGATGTGATTGATGCCCCCCATGTGTAGGCAAGGCATACATTTTATAGTCGTCTACTAACAGATTGAAATGGCTTATCAATAACTAAAAGACTAATTTGGTGAAGGTGACATCATCTTCGCAACGAATGAAGCTGTTGCAGGGCTCTCCTCAAGACCAGGTATTAGGATAACATGGTCCGTACTCCAAGGTGGCGTGGATGAGGCTCTTGGGATGACATTGTCTTCTCCTTGATAATTTGGCACTTGGAGCCTTGTTGAGCCTGACTAGGCGTAGATCACTTTTGGGTTGGACCTATTGAGTTTCGTATAGGTAGATCCTTTATTCAAGTTGGGCCCACAACTTGAGTTGGGTCTTGGTCCTAGCCTATCATTTGCCCCTCAATGCCCCGAGTCCACTAAAACTTGGAGAAGAGGGCATTTAGCGGGATTTGGACTCTGGTCGACGAAGACTCCTTTTGACTGATGACCCATTTTCCTTCTTGATACGGTTCTTCCCTATAAGACATTCCTTGCCATGAGCTAGGTGACTAGAGACCTTTCTTGGATGAAGGAGAGGAGACACAAGAAGTTATTGACATCAGAGAGGAGATAGGCAACGACGAAAAAATAGGCATTGAAGTTGGCACACAGGCTGGCGTCGACAAAGCAGTTGGTGCTAGTGAGTCTGGGTGCTCCATAGGCTTCAATGGTGAGGCGCCAAAGGTAGAACCAGGTCTTAAGGATGGGCGAGGTGCCATGGGCGCCGCCAGGCGAGGCGAGGAAAATACCACTTGGTGTGGCGTTGTTGGGTGAGGCTCCGTCTGGAAAGGCGCCATGGGCACTATCAATTGAACAGGGTGATCGGAGCATGTCAAGGCTGGCATACTTGGGCGTCAAATACAGAGAGACGAGCTCAGGTGTTGTACACGAGGTGACCCAACTGGGCGTCGAATGTGAGGTGGCCCAGATAGACACCGTTGATGAGGCGACCCAACTCGGCTCCAAAGCGAGGTAGCCCAGCCAGGCGCCAAGGCACCATGGTCGTAAGGGGTTGGCGACCCTGTTGATTGTGAAGAAGGGGTGCTGCTAGGCGACGGGCGTAGGTGATGGAGCCCGTAGATGGTGTCGTGCACGGTGGTTTCCAGGCACAGAGCTTTGGGGGTGCAGGAGCTAACCTAAACACGGTCGTGCGTGCTCGAGGCACCATGGTTGGTGTTGGCACATGAATACGTGCAGGCACAGATCTGGGCACTAGGAGAGGGCGTTAGGAGTAGGAGAGCTAGTACCCAAAAGCAGGTGCCAAATCCTTAATGTTGGGAAGGCTAACTAGCCTTGTGTGCACTAAGTGTTAAGCGCGGGAGCGTTGGGCAACGAGGTGATAATGTTGGATGGTTGCAAAAAGGATGAGACCCGATTATTAACATTCATTTAATGTAGTCTCGTGGGTTGCAGACTATCTGAGTGCCTAGAGATGACAAAAACAATGTTACTCAAATATCAAAATATCCAACATGATTACCTGAAAAGAGGGGCGATACATCGACTTGTAGAGAAATAGAGGCTGTTTGCGTGAGAGTAAAGACAGAGTTTGAGGTTGCTCGTGAGAGAGATGCACCTCTTGAGATCGAGCTTCTGGCGACTCGTAAGAGTGTTGTTAAGCTGGAGGTAGGTTGATTGGGAATTGCTCACATGAGAGAGTTGCACCTCTTTAGACCGAGCTTTTGGCGACCTGTAAGAGAGCCGCTAAGTTAGAGACATAGGCTGTCTGCTTGAGAGCAGAGCAGAGATAGGGCAAGCTTTTGGCGACCTGTGAGAATGCGGCTAAGTTGAGGCATAGACTGCCTACTTGAGAGTAGAACAAAGATAGTTCAAGGTTTTGGAGACCTGTGAGATGATTCATCTCGCCTGGACCTGTTGATGCTCTCAGCATTCATATATTTTTGAGCATTTGTCAATAGTTCTGGCATGCTCTTTGGTGGACGCTTCATCACTGAAAGAGGAAGCTTGACGAATGGAGGCCTCTCAGGAATGTGGTCATGCTGACTTTATCATCAGGTTCCTCAATCTATAGGATCTCCTCGTTAAAACGAGTAAGGTAGCTCCTCAGACTCTTGTTTTCGATCCTATTTTATGCTAAACAGGTTGGTGGCAAGCTTCTAGTGGCGGCATCCACCAATGCAATGTGCCACAAAGGATCTTCTTAGTTCGACAAAAGAGCTTATGGAGGCTGGGGTAAGCTTGATGAACCATTCTCAAGCAGATCCCTTTAGGGTAGTTGGGAAGGCTCTGCACATGATTCGTCAGGAACATTGTGCAGCTGCATCAGAGACTTATAGGTGTTGAGGTGATCCTAGTGGGTTTTTTGTGCCATCAAACGCTTCCACCGATGGCATTCTAAATTTCTGAAAAAGTGGATAATTTTTCACATTGGCTACGAAAGGCATGTCAATGCGCCTTATAAGATACTTAATAGTTTTTGGTCCTTGAGCCTTCATGGCGTTGAAGACATCACCCAGTTGATTCTGTACTTTCTTGATTTTCTCGTCTCAATGATTAGGGACTCCTTTGGATGGGTCATGAAAATGGCTCCCATGGTCTACATTTCGATTCTCGCCCACATCTTCTGAAAACGAGGATCTCCTCCGTGGGAAGAGGGAGCTCGAGGAGGAGGTGGAGCTCCTTCATGGTTCTAATGAGGGACTCCCCTGTAAGGGGCACCCAAAGGGGTTCCTAAAAGGGCGCCCAAATGGGGAGCTCCTTGACGTTCGGGGCGAGGAGCTCATCTAGCTTGATGTGCTCCCGATTGCATACCTCTTTGTTGTCCGGCGAGCGTTAGCTGCAGGATTTGCTGATTCTGAGTTACGAGTTGTTGTATTGTTTCCAGCATCTGTTGGGTGTTTGGAGCAGGATTAGTTGGTGAAGGGTAGTCTCTTCCTCATGTGATGGATTATTTTCGGGCTGATTCATGGATCTGATGGTGATCGCCATGGGTACAGCAAGAGAAAGTGATTAGATTATAATTTTGATGATTCTCACAGACGGCACCAAACTGATGATGCACAAATTAGTTTTGCACACCACCTATCAAGTAATTAATGCAGATAATAAAATAGAGAGAAAAAACTCAATACAAGCAAGACACAATTTAAGTAGTTCGATCAAAGAAAACTACTCTACTGTGATGGACTAGGATGGCTTAGGTGTTTTATTGTTGTAGGAGTGTGGAGAGCTCAAGTGAGAACAATGAGAGTTCAGAAGCAAGATGCTAGATGTGATAGATGCCCCCCAGGTGTAGACGAGACATACATTTTATAGTTGTCTCATAACAGATTCAAATGACTTATCAATAACTAAAAGACAAATTTGGTGAATATGACATCATTTTCGCAACGGATAAGGCTATTGCGGAGCTCTCCTCAAGACCAAGTCTTAAGATAGCGTGGTCTGTACTCCAAGGTGGCATGGATGAAACTATTGGGATAGTGTTGTCTACTCCTTGATGATGTGGCACTTAGAGCCTTGATGAACTTGACAAAGTGTCGGTCTCTCTTAGATTAGACCCATTGAATTTCGTATAAGTGGATTTTTTTTCAAATAGAGCCTACCCACCACATGAGTTAGGTCTTAGTCCACGCCCATCAAGTACCTTAATCTTAGTGCTGTTGAGGGGAGTTTACATGGGATTCCATATTTTCTCAAAAAGAACACAAATGATAAAAAAATGGTACGTACATGCAAGCAGTTGTGACATTTCTCAAAGGGAGGACCACAGTTTTGGGGAAGACCAATTGAAATGAACAGTGAATGAAATTAAACTCGGGGATGATTCATATTTGTTCATTTATTAAATAAATAATTTTAACTGAAATTTTAAATTTTGTTTAATAAAATTAGTCAAACTCGAGCACCGATTTTTTTTGCATTGTTAGGTTTTTAAACACAAATGTCATTATATACGTCATATGCAATGTATATTTATAAGTAAGTTGAATTGATCTTAATTAAACGCGAGCTTTAATTCAAACCTAAGTTTGAATAGTTTAATCAATCAAATTAAGTTTACGACTAAGTGCACGTAAAACTTTTCAAGATTATGTCAAACACTCTTTATACGAACCAATAAATTTTGCCAGGATAATCCATTGTTTGATTCGATGCGGTTCATTTTGCAATGGGTTTGACTTCTTTATAATAGCTACTGCTAGGTTAAGCTAAGCGCTATACAATAGATATCCCTTCCCGTCATTTTAGAAGAG